TCGTGAGCGAATTTGCGCAAGCCGCCGGCCTTTCTCGATGTCGACGCGGAATAATTTTTTTTTCTTTCTCTAAATGACAGACACACGGTCGCGAAATCGGGCCATTAGATTGTAACTCTCCTTGGAAGTTGAACCCGCGCGATTTCTCGCGGTGTACACACACGTCCGACACAACGCGTCGTCTCGCGTAGTCGTTCTCGTTATTTCATCGTTGTGCATCACGCGTGCAAGGACGCGCATTGCACATCGCTCTACGATAGAAGTGCATTCGTAACTGGGACGCGCGCGTTGACATATCACCGGGAGCTCAAAAGACTTCCCTGGCTATATGTCGGAACTCTCGACGACAATCGATCGAAATTTTCCAAGCGAATATTCTCGCTTCAATTCTATACGTCAACAACAAACAATCAACAATACTGATAATTAACCAGCTTGAGGCTAACGTAATTTAATCTTTTTATTATTTTATTTTAATTACGTAAGTTACACAACAGAATGTAGCCAGATACACCGAGATTTAATTAAATTTATTGCAACAGAGTGTAAACTTTTTACTACGCACACACACAGATTGAATTGTTGAATTATTGAGTTTAGATTTTTTTTTTTTTTTTTAACAGATTTTCTATTGAGAATTTTACAACGAGAAAATGTTTCATTCAGCACGTGTAAGTATCCATCCAATTTTTACCATTCCACACAATCGGCAGTCTCTCGGCTGCGGTAAGTAAGAAGTAACAAGCATTTCGACATAGATTGACGTAATACACACAGAAGAACGGAGCGAGTAGGGGAGATTAAGTACCCGGAATTGTTAACGCCACTTGTCAATTTTTTTCGTTACTCTGTCCCCATTCGGTTGCTCGACGGTGACTCCGTAAATGCACTTTAAATTATGCAACACGTAGAGGAGAGATGATGATTAACGTTCTAACCGGTCGAAGAAAAAATTTCGCTTTCCTGTATCTCTCGCGCGCTACTATGTAATCGATGACTCACAATTAATAAGCGATCAATGTTTCCGTTAACAGCCAGTTAAATACTCTATTTTACGCAACGTCTAACGATATCGGTAACGTAATATCGTAGCAATACTGCGTCAATGCAAACTGACCTTCCGACACAATTGTGAGCACAATATTTGCGGCGCTTGAGAAATCTGCCGCCATTAAATCCGATTGCGATTTCTCTTCGAACGATAATTTAACGTTTAGATCTAGAAGAGGAAGGGATCAATTTTTTTCTCGCATTTACTTTCGGGATTATATCTCTCGTTTCTTACAACTATAAAATTAACAATCGCGTATATTAACTTGACAAATGTCTCTCATTAGATTCGTGGCGTTTACACACGAAGCAATTATAATAAAAACAGATACTCTTTACTTTTGAACAGTAATAATACGGTAGTTCTGACGGTAACATCTTATTTACATGTAAAAATGCGTAAAGGAAGCGATTAAAGTTAGGTAATTGCACGGCGAATCAATGAAATATGCATTTCTTTAAAACGCGCGCGAAAACACAAGAATCGCGAAGCGTACGCGGATTGCATGTTCGTGAGTTGCATGCAACTTATTACGCGAGATATACAGAGGAGGGATCGCGATAACGAAAGACGTCCTGTTCTTATTAGGAGCGATCAATTTTTGAAGTGGCGAGTTACGCAATTTACATAACGTTTACAAGCAAACATACCGCGCGCATTACGTTAACAATTGTTATTATGCGAGAGAAATTTATAAAAAAAAAAAAAAGACTAACAGTTGCGGCAGGGATTGCATCGCTTATGTATACATGAATGTAATGGACACTTGCTCAATTTTGCATCCATGATACCATCGCGCGTTGGTTGTCCGTCATTCGAATGTTTGCGTTTGTCTTGTTTGCAAACGCTACGAGATCGCTACGAGCATCGTCATTACACAATCGCAGCTTCGCGACGCAGTTGCAATTGCAATTCTCTCTCTCTCTCTCTATCTATCTATCTGTCTATCTATCTCTTTCTCTCTCTGTTCTCTCGATATAGAGAGAACAGAGGCGAGGTATGCACGAGTGAAACGCAAACCGCGAAAGTATGCTGAGCAACGTGTTTGGCACTGACTCTCCGGCAAACAGAGAGTCGGTAGTTAATTTTTCCGCCGTGGCGCAAATTAGAAAACTCGACGTAAAAGGAAAGGAAGTAGAGACTCTTCTCTCTTCGGTTTCCGCGTGCTTCTGCGTCGTGTGTTTCGTGAGGTACATATCTATATAAAGCTTATGTAAACCCTCACTTCTCTCTTTCCCTCTTTCTTTCTGTTTCGCGGGCTCCGTTCCAAATTGAGAAATATTTGGTAACGTCCGGTTGAAACGTCGAAACATGATATTTGACTTTATTCGACAAATAAACCAAGTTAAATCGGAAGTGTTTCATAAGTAACCGAGTCCTGCTTGAGTTTCCGCGAGTAGTGGCGGTCTCGATTTCGTCACGATCTGTCGGTTAGGTGGGATATGTACACGCAACTCGCTTGCACGACCTAAGCTTCTCCCGGCTAATGAAGCAGAAAGACATCTTTACTCGTACGCGACGATTACGCGACGGTGTTACAAGGTTCGCCCAGGCATAGCGTATTACCTGCTCGGTGACGATTATGTAATATAATAATAATAAAAAAAAAAAAAACTCACAATATCATTGCCACGGTGTCAATATGTCTCTTCGTTTATTATATCCGCGAGCTATAATATCATATTTGCGTCTGTCAGCCGTGAGATGTTGGCGCGCGCTCTTTCTGCGCACTTTCTTTTCCCGCCCCTATACACATCGGTGTCGGTGACGCAATCGTCGATCGTGACAGATGCGCGCGATAAATCGTATTTCGCGCGCGAGCGAGCGATATCTCGCGACCGGACAAGCAATAAACAAGCATGTCGATCCGGTTGCATCGAAGAGTCGATTAGAGAACGGTCGTCGCTCGAGCGCGCGCTTGCGGCTCGGGATCAAAGTGTAACTTTCGATCACGGAGAAAAAAAGCGATCTAATCCGCACACGTTCTCACGTACCTTCGTTTGTTAACGAAGTTCGGAGACTTAAGATGTACATCCGAAGTTCGCCAGGCGTGTGATTCCGTGCGGTTGAGAGTTATTCGGTGCTCTGCATTATATTGCTTTCGTCCGCACGTCGAACAGCGAGGTCGAAAGCGACGTAACTTCGAGCTTTTCGAGAGCTTCATCCGCACTTTACGTACGACGTCGTCGTCAGTACACGCTCTCTCTTCTCGCTCTCCTTCAATTCAAACACAGTTCCGAACAGTGAGAGCTTCAGCTAATTTCCAGTTATAGATTCAGCAGTTCGGTACAGTCAGCGAAACTGCTTTATCGCGCTTTTGTGAGATTTAATTGGATTGAGCGAGAATGTCTTAATTAACATAACGCATATACGCGCGTGGTTGTAAAATACGTAATAGAGATCGATATACCCGCCGGATTCCGTCCATGTACGGAAACGACTCTTTTTACGATCGTGTCACGTGTTACGTTTTTTGAGTTAGAAATAACTGAACCAGTTCGTGTGTCATAAAATAAAATAAAAAAAAAAAAAACCTTTTACTCGGATGCAAATATTGTTTACGAGTTTAATAACATTTATATAATAATCTCGGGATTTTACCAGCGACAGTGTCTTTCAAGAAATTATCCTTGCCGCACGGAAGATCCCTCCGATGTATTTTGTTTTCCCGAAGAATTATGAGAAAAGATGCGATTAATTACCGCGTTGAAGCTCGGCCGTAGCAGCGCGCGTTCGTGTCTAATTAGAACGCGTCTCTCTTTCTCATCGCTCGGATGTATTAATTTAAAGGAGTTTTAATCGCTGCGGATGAAAGTTACTTACGCGCACAAATAAAATTTTTGTTACGTCATATTGCGTAATACGCGCGCGCAAACTCTACATCGGATATCTCACACGTGTAATTATATATCTGTCGTAAATGTAAGTTGTACTCCGTTTATTTGTTAAAGTGAATGTAAGCGCGAATTACGCAAACTCCGCTCCAACACTTCGCGGATATTAATAATATATGAAACACCATTGTATCACGCTTATAATTGAATCTTCCACGCGTTTTATCCTCCATGAATTTTGCTCTTTCTAAAAAACTTGAACACGTTTTTCGCAAAAAGTAGTCGGAGCAAAAAATCACATAACGTTGAGTGCACCTGACAATTGGTAGTTCGGCGATATTTCGATTTCGCGAATATTGACACGCGGAATTTAGACTCCCGGGTTTTAGTTGCAAAAAATAATTTTTGAGTGTTACGCACACGGGAAATATTCACACGTACTTCAAAATACACTCCCGCACAAAACTATATATATAGTTGAATAATATTAAGTTACTTCTTGCTTAAAGGCACGTGTACGCTAAAAATCGGCAAAAGTTTAAATTAAATAAATAATAAGTGTTAAAAATTTAGATTTATCCGGAAAACGGTAGCTTAGTTCTTCCTCAAAATTGTAGGATTAACTTTCTGCTAAAGGATTCGCGAAGAGAAAGAGGTTTACCCGAGCGTTTATCGAAAGCGCGGAGAGCAAGTTTCATAAGTTGTGTCGGAGCGTCGTGTTCTAGAATGAAATTTTCCAAGTTGCGTCGTTGGATAGCTCAAGTGCTTTGTTCACTTCGAACTGCATGAATACATTTTCTGTTATTTATTAGTTTATTAAGGTCATTTTTGTTTTTATTAAAAACAGTATTGTTGGAATTGGCAAATACTGTTTAAATTATTACAAGGTGGCACATAAGAATTTTCTTTTTTGCACAATATTGCGTATTTATAAAATTTAAATAATTACGTCACGCTCGCGCGAAATAGAATTAATTGACGTTGAATAAATGGCTTTCGCTCGCCACATCACGCAATATTGAATTGCGTAAAATTGAAAAAGTCATATCGGGAACCCACAATATTGGTGAACCAAATCCGACAAACAATTTTCGGCCGTAAGAGGATTTACTTACGAAAGCACGTAAAATTTGGGATCCTGCCAAGCGCAGTAATTGCTAGATGGCACGGGTTTCACCGTAACAATGCGAACCTTCGGACCGCCCGATCGATAGGTCGAATTGCCTTCGCGTTCGACTCTATCAGCGCTGGCCCTTAGCATCGAGGCCAGAGACGTACGATCGCATGTAGCCGGCAAGCACAGACCCAAAAACACCTGACGTGTCTGGAAAGAGAATGAAATGACGTCATTAGAGAATGAAGATTCCCGATAGTTTTTATCTCGCTTTAATATAACTCGCAAAAACAAAATCTTTGATGCAACATTTTGATAGTGAGCTTATCGCAAACAAACTGATTGTCCGGAAAACATTTTGATTCATCGCAAAAGGTATATCGTGTCCGCGAAACGTTCGGCAGAGAAATGTGTTTATTGAAAAAAAAAAAAAAAAAACCCCAGCTTACTCGTTTTCATGTTTCCGCACGTTTGGTTGTTTACACGCTTTTGTGCGCACATAAAAACACCAGACGACAGAGTTTTTCAAAAATTTTTCAACGGGTAAGCCGAATTTGGTCGAAAAGCCAGATCAAAAAGGATTTGCGCGCTGCGCAAAACTATAGCTGCGTCGAGATTATAATCAACAGTTCGGTGCGCGTCAGCTTATCGATTGCGAATAGACAATGGAAACGGGAAACTGTGTACTATGAAAAAAAAAAAGCTTTTTCTCTATCGTCTCTCTCTCTCTTTCTCGTAGCGCAACCACGTGCGATTACATTTTTCTCTCGCAGTGTTTTTTTTTTTTTTTGCTTTTCACTGTGGTCGATAAAGCGGAAGAACTTTTTCGTCTAAATAATGTTATTGAATTCAGAAGCAGTCTCACGGAACGGGGTTCTTGCCGTTTTCAGTCGCGCTCAGGTTAAATTTCCATCTCGCGCTTCGAGACGAATTGCGCGTAGACAAAAAGACTATTAATTAGCACATAATGATATCGCTCGAACTCTGCAACGAGATTACAGGAAGAGCGGCGAGTGCTCCCTCCCCTCCCCCTCTCTGTTTGAAGCACAGCGCAATCGAGAAACTTCGGGATTAAGTCGTCGAATAATCGTATTAGCGCGCAAATGCCGAAAGTTGCTTTTCCTACTGGCAGTTAAACCGGATTCGCCAGCTGTTACTACAACACACACATTTGACTTGGCAAAAGTGTAACTGATCTAGTGTGCGCGCATCGGTTAAAATCTCCGCTCTGTATATATATACGTTACTCTCGCGCGTATTAAAACTTCGTTCAACTTTTTATTACGGCGGTAAAACATTCCGTAAAAGTCGCCACTAAAAACGCGCGCAACAGTCGTATAATTGTTCGGCATACTTTTAACGCAACAATTCTTGCAATTTCACAGCGCGATGGATACTCTACATACTCTAGTTGTTTTTTTTGTTTTTTTCATTTTGATGAAATCTGTACGTTATATTAGCGATAACTTTTGTATGCTACGTTCGTATTTCTTTGCGAATATAAAAGAGGGGGAACGTTTTCAATATGCGCCTCTCTCTCTCTCACGAATTATTCATTTTATCGACGGCTTTCGTGACGTTATGCCTCTCGGAGGTCGTTGTAACCGATCGGTCTCAATAACTTACGATATGAATACAAACGCACACATGTACATACAAACTCGAATCTCCAAGTCAGATGCGAGCGCCAAATGTGAGGAAAGAAACGCGGGCCGAATACATATATGCCAAATACGAGTGTGCGATATAAATGTGTGTTTGGAAATATTGGGGGATGCAAAATATGTTCAAACTCTAAAATCAAGCGTGCAATATTACGTGCGCATACAATTATTTGAAAAAGCGCGCAACGCCAACAACAGGTACGTCGTAAATCCCTCTTTTCTGTCTTGTTAGCATTAAAATGATGAAGTGTATAGAATCGTGCGTGTTCGTTATGCGTGATCACGTCTCTTCGTTAATCTTGCGCCGCTGTTCTCGCTGAGTTGAGCTCACGTTGATAGTTTACAGTATAAGACGGATATTCGATGTCGGCGTATAATATGGGTGGATAAACGAATGGCTGATGATGAACAATCGAATAGACGTCCACGCTCGATATTTGGTGACAATTTTGTTTAGCTCGCGCGGATGAACGTCGACACTCGCGGTTAATTAATTCCCACACTAATGTGTTCGCGCACACGCGATTGCGGTGTGTAAATTCTCTCTCGGGACGTCCTGAAACCATTCGTCGTATTATAAATGCAATGATCAACGAAACGTACCCGCACGTCATAATATCTGCGTCGTTTAGTTTTACATACCCCATTGTAATGTTACAATTTACATTCGCCGCAAATTGAAATGACGATAATAAGCAACGAAATAAAGAGCTTTTATTTGGCGAAAATTAAGAGCACGGCAAAGCAAATATTTGCAAAAGTTGTTTATATTTCAAATTGTTTATATCTGATAGTGTATACGTATAATTCTCTTGTAATTGTATTAGTGTATATTTCTTTTTAATTAACATAATATCAATTACAGACAGTAAATTTGTGTCGTAACAGATCGTAAGTACGTAAAGTATGTCGCACATTGCGAGCAACTACCTTCGCACTCTAGTTTTTACTTTCTATTATAAATGAGCACAACATTGTGCAAAAGTTATAAAAGCGCAAATGTTTCTAAAACAAACGCCGGTGACTCACCGAAAAATCGAGCTCTTTCGGGAGACTCAGATACAGTCTCGCGACGTGAAATCTCAGAGGATAAGGCGGTTGCTTTTCGTCGACGCTCGCCACGTTCTTTCCATCGGTGACATTGAGCTCCCTGCAGAGGGTGCTCGAACCCAGCCAGAAACCGTTACCGAAATGGAATTGCGAGGAATATCGGCCGCTTGCGTCCGACACTGAAAAGAAAACGACATGCGAAAGTGAAACAATGATAAATAATGTCGATCATCGGCTGAAACGGGCGGGAGATAAGAGCTCGCTGCTCTTGCGACTTTTGTCGCACGTTCCCGATGAAAGAAAGAAAGAAGAAAGCACAACGAGTCTTTTTCTCGGATATAAAACGCGAAGCGCATGTAGACGTGCGAAAAAATCGCGACACACACGACGACGTTCCCTTTCGCGCGAAAAGTGCACTTGAGATCTCTCGAGATAGAAGCTGTGCACAGTCGCGCGTGCTGTGCGGCCTCGGCGATCACAGTTACTTCGCACCTACTTTTCTTTTCTCTTTGAACCGTCTACCGCTTTACCGCCGTCTACGTCGGGAGTGTGATAAAATTTCGTCGTCTAGAGTTTCCTCTGAAAAAGAACTCGATTACACGGCTGTCGACGAAAGGTTCATTGTCAGTTACGTAAGACGACTGATGAGGGGAGTAGAAAGTGCACCAAAGCCGACGCGCCGCACACGTCGATCGCCATCATCACAAGAAAAACGTACAATTTTTTTTTTAATCGTGAAATCAGTACCGACGTCGCGCAAAAGTTGCGAAAAACAAAATTTGCAAAACACTTATAAAAAAAAAAAGTGAAAAGAATTTGTGCAAATTATTGCGCAAACAACATAGACAGAATGTTAGTTTTTTCTCTCTCATTTACGTTAAAAGAACAGAAAAGATGATTTGTCCTCGGCAAAAATTATATATATTTCTAGACATTTCAACGCGCAGACCCGAGAAGAGGGCTTTAAAAGTTTCCATGGAATTACTTTGAGCCGCTGTGGCATTGTGGAGCCGCGGTGGAATTTACAGCAATGGTGCAACGACCGTCCGACTGATTAATGATATAGTCAGTCTTGGCTTTGCAAATAATAACTTTTCGTTGCGTTATTATGACAGTCGCGAGATCAGGAAAGAAAATTACACAATGCAAGTTCGCGGAGCATTTGGAAACAATCCTCGCGGCGACACGAAATTGTCAATGCAACTTTTTTACTGTCCGCCGCGCGGTAACTTTATAATTGCTCAAGTTTCGCTTATTATCATCGTATATATTTCGCGATCGCGTTGCTTAACACAGTTATTTTCACCGGCGCACAAAACTGCGGTAGGTCTGAGATCTGAATGCCGTTCGAAAAAATCTTTCTCGTTCAGAGAGACATGTATGTGACCACTCGCCCGCTTGTTCGTAAAACAAGGTCGCTTAGTTGCTTTCGCAAATAAAGTGTATATATATATATATATATATATACACAGTGTGTGTATATATTTCTGACAACTATGTAAAAACAAATTTCTCCGTATAATGACACTATTATCTCGCTTCAAGGGACACCGATCATTAATGGAGTCAGGGATAAACAAAAATTACTTCCGACAATTAGCGTCGCTTTCTAAGTGTAATTAGACACGTTTTAGTCGTGTAGTATACGGATCGACGGCGCGAAGAAGATGCTTCTGTCAAGCGTCGCGTGTCGCGCAGCCACGCGAACTGCAGTTTTGCAATTTTTCGCCATATGATCGCTCGTGGCAAAAATTGCCCGCCGGCGTTATCGTACGTTATTGCTGCGAGTGTCGATAATGCGGACGCAACTTGTGACCGGAAATCGTCGTAAATCCACAACCGAACGAATATGACATTGCCGCTCATGGTCCGACGCAGCTTTCATCAGACCGGCCGGTTCAGCTTTGCCTTTCTCGCTTTCTAAATCACGTCGGCTCGTCTAATATTCCGATTCGTATTCGGCACTATTACTTAATTATCAATTCGTTCCACTTACGCAAAGATATTTCGAAATTACTTTTTACATATTTTCTCTTAATTTTAGATCACATGTATTATATTATACACGAAATTTGATCAAAAGAAAAGGAATGTGAAAAGAGAAATCTTGTTTAATCAATTTTTTTTTTATCTGACTATTGGACGAAATAATATATCCTTAATTCGCGCGCGCGCAAAAAAAAAATCGTTTTAAGAGAAAGTTGTATCTGTTTAGAGAAACGGTTACGCTTCATTTTAAATTCAAAAAGTTCGGAATTTGTTTGCACGATCTTACTGTTGACTCTGTCAACTTTGAATTTCGATATAGAACGTCGTTTTTCGAAGTAGTGGCGGTCAAATATTATTTCCGTGATAGAACACTGTGGAAAGCGCGCGTGAAGATCGTCGCGAGGTTGTTCGGAAAGTTTCGTAAATCGAAGTCGTAAAACTGGGTCAACTCTTTGATCATTACGCGGGGCAAGAAACTGAAGGAGTTTCGTGAAATAGTGAGGTCTCTTTAATAATATCCACTCGACCGAGACAATCCTTGTTGAGTCGTGAACTCTACGCGGAACGTAGATGCCTCTCGAGATATTATATATATATATATTAATCTTCGCTAAGCAAGAATGCACAATAAGATGTCAATACTGCAATGCAATATTGTGCGATACTGTAATGCAAATTTAGTTAGTATCGTATTTCCATAATGTTCTTTATTACAAAATCTCCTTATTCAGAAACATCGAATCGCATGAGAAAATTCAAATCGCTTTAGAAATAGGTGGAATTGAAGAAATTACCATACCGCTCTCTCGTGCATTTCAATTACTTAAATCGCTCAGACAATGTGAAATCTATTTGATTTAAATGTGGGCTCACGAAAGTTTCGATCACATTTTAATCAATCGGACTTACTCTTCGCGGCCCAAAGTTTTCCGTTTCTCAGCGCGTCGAGAAACCTTTCCATGTCCCTTCGACATTCGTTTTGGAGTCCCCCGGGTACTCTGACCCACCGAAAAGGATCGTAAAGATCCGCGAGCCACTGTATGCTATTAGCTGTTCTTTCGAATTTCTCTCTCATAAAATCAACGTCGAAGTTCCGGTGTTCTTCTTCTTGCTTCGCGTCGAACATGTTCAGATAATTCTTCCAGTCCAGCTCCGGATTATTTTTGCTAAAAGAAATTAGGGCCGGACGTTGTTCGGATTCATTCTTCTCTTGCGCGTGTTCCGTTTTATTGAGATTTAACGTGTTCGCTTCGATCGGAACAATTTTTTGCGGCTTGCTCAGCTTGAGAATGTTCGATTCTTTTTCCGCGATCGTCACGTGAGCGACACACAGGAACATGAGAAGATACCGCAATAGATGTGCTGCCATTGCTTGCGATGTTTCGTTTTCGTTTGATGAAGACTGCACAGAATTTACTTGCGCTTTGGGTCAACAATCGACTAGATATTTTCGTTTGTACGAGGAAGATCGAGACTCATCGATTTCCGTCGTTGAAGCGCGAAGGAGTTGTCGTCATCTTAGCACTTGACAGAATTCCTTCGGGCAAAGTTATAATTCCGTTGTAATGAGTGTTTAGTCGATTGGATTCTCGAGCATGCTTGAAGAGATACGCGAAATGCGAGAAATGTCGGATTCGGATGCTCAGAATTCAGAGAATCAGAACACGGAAACGCGGCGCATAAAGTGCTGCGATTTAGGCGAACAAACACGTGCAAATTCTCGCCGGGCTGCCAATGGCAATGTTTAGACGAACCAATCTGAACGTTTCATTGCCTTCGTATAAGAGAGACTGAAGACGCACGCGTGTGTTTCTGTTTAATAGCTTACGATGCCCGTAACTTGTCAGTCATTTAATCAATCAATAGCATATTCCGAGTGTACGTAAACAAATAATCGTTAAACAAAAACTTTTATCGTATTAAGAATTAAGCTTATATATCAATTATTTTTGTAAAAAAATGTTTTACTTGTTTGACAAATTTATTAGAATGTATTTACTAACACTTGTGTGAATTAATTTTTTTAAATTTCACTAGTACTTCACTGATTATATTATTTAAGAAAAGCGAAAATCGCGTAAAAAGAATCTCTTCGATCTCTGTGATTGACGAGATCACACGATCCCCGCTCACGTTTTATCTCGCACTGACGAGAAAAATCACAGATCCCGTTGGAAGCACAAGCGAGGCGAAGGCGCCCGCACATATGACAGACTAAGGATCACTGAATGAAGCGAATAAAGTCTACGGCAACGTTCACCCGTAGATAGTGAGTCCCCCTTTCTCTTACGGCGATGCACTTTACCGTCGTAAACGCGAATTTCCTTCTCCGGATCGCGAAGAAATGTTGTGACTCGACCGGTTTTTTTTATATAACGTGATGGAAGACGTGTCAGATTTTTTATGTACAGAAATTTTCAATGTATTAATAAAACTCGTTTGCGAAATATGTATTTAAATGTCAAGTATATCGTCGCTGTATAAATAATTTTTTATTGTAAGAGACTTTGATATCAATCATTCGTTTTCAAAGCAAACGTTTGACGCATGTAACACTGTCGTAATTTCTTAGAAAAGTGCGCGCCTACGATCCGACACGCTCCATTTCTGATTGACCAATCAGCTTGTGTAGTAATATAATAAAACACTATAAACTTCGTATATGATTATAAAAATCTACAAATTGCGGATGAAACGTTACGATGTGCGCGAGTACGTGAATGTTGCTTATGTAAGTGACAACTTGTTTTCTGAATTTTTCGATAAAATACAGATTTTAATTGCTTTTCAGATTTACTATGAGTATTAAACTAAAAGGGACTGTATGTGTGTGTGTATGCAAGAGACAGTTTTGTTTTTCCACGTTATTAATTAAAAACATCGTCAAAGGGAAAAAACATATTGTCTGGCTTTACGTGAATCAAGGGGAGTTTTAATTAAAAGGATCTTGCGGATTTCACTGTAAGTTCAGAGACCATTTACGCTGTAATGTAGACTCCAATTCGCACGCGCGCGCACTTGTTACCATATTGCACAGAGAACGTTTGAACGGTTTGATTACACCCAATCCGATATGTTGCTATCGCGCTAACATTAATTGCTTGTTACGATCCGTGTTTATTTAGGGACCATTTGTCCGCTCTCAAAAGACATTACTGTAATAATATCGTTTTCTATTATTAGATGTGCGCGCGATGGATCGAAACCAATTCGGGAATAATATTGAACGTTTAGCGAGTAAAACAAATCAATCAAAACGGGCGAAACATAACATTCTCGTGTAATTGCTCGCGCGCATAAAAAGTACAGAAATCGGAGAAACTCTACAATTTATCTTTTGGAAAAGAAAAATTGTTCTGTTATTCACGACTTTGATTCGGGAAGACCCCAAAGGTTTTCCCTAACGCTCTTAAAATAATAAACAAGAAAGGTAAGAAAAAGAAAATTGATCTTAGTCAAAGAGAGATTGACAGCGAACAAGATGATATTGTGAAAAACGAGAGGGAGAAAGTCGAAGGGAGCAGACGGACATTCTGCCAGATAACGTGATCTGGAAAATGGCGAAAAGAGGAGCGCAAAAGGTGGAAATTTTTCTCTCGAGAGGTATCTGGTTTACTCGGCTGTAAACAAAAGAAATATGGGTTCGATACCAGAAAGCAAATGTAAGTTTTTTCCACTATACGACGACGACGACGACGACGACGACGACGACGACAACGACGACGACGGAGGGTGAGCTTGCCTGTTACGGACGGATAAAACTGGTACGACATTCAGGTTTTTTTTTCTCCGTTAAATAAAGCCTCTAACTGTTATTCTCTATTGTGCGCGCCGAACTTTTATTGCGTTTTATCAGAAAAAAAAAGATATATAAGAATGGAAAATATAAATAAAGATGTATGCGAGGGGATACTGAGATATACGAAGATATGGTTACTACTACGCGGAATCACTGTGTTTCTGTGTGTGTGTGTGTAATTTGTATGCGCTTGTGAATTTTTTTTTTTTTTTATCTCCCTTTCTTCGTGCCGCATGAGAAATTGATGAGAATCGCTCCCGTCCAAAATGTGATAATCGTGATGTGCGTGACAATGCTTCATCAGTTTTCGCTAAATAAACGAATATTTCTCTGTTCGATTCTTTCTGGCATAAAATAGGTTAAATCCGTCTTAAATTGCACTGAAATAAACAAGTCTTTTGATTCTCGAAAAAGTACTTTTCTATGAATCAAGTAATCAAGCTCGAAAAGCATTTTTTTCGTGTTTTTTTTAGTTCGGGTTATGAAATATTTGTATTGTAGTTGAAATTTTTTTCTCAGTCAACATACTCGCAGCATGTTCCAATCCGAATATAAGTTTCTCGTATATTAATTATTAAATCGCATTTTTTTGTTTTTCTATTGAAAACGTTTAAGAGAAAAAAACTATAATAAAAACGCGAAGATAAGTGTCTTACGACTTCCGGATCTTCAGTGAAAATTAAGCTGCCATATACATATGCGATATTTTCACTTTTATTTAATATTTACGCAAGGTTAACGCACGTAAAATTGTTACAAACAACTTTCAGTAACTCTCACCTGTCGCGTTGGTCACGTCAGATTCTCATACGCATATCGAGAATTTTAAGTTTCTCCGAATTTCTTGGCCTGTCCCTCTTCATCACTCTCGCACGCCTCCCATTCTCGCCGTCCCCTCTTCGGAAACAACGTCTGGCGAGAGATCCGGCTGCTGGCTTACATAACTGCGAGCTTTCTACGTGATCACACAACTGCATACATGCGCGAGCCTCTAACCGGTCCTCACGTAGGAAACGAGGAGATCGGTTTCGAACTTTTGCTCTCGTTGCTTTCGAAGCATCGCGAAAGTATTCGCACGTCCGGCATTGAGCCAGTCTTTTAAGTCGCCGATGAACTTTATGGCCGATGTAATTACAATGGTAATTACAATGCTACATGGGAACATGTTATCTCGAGAAGTACTTTATCCTAATTTTAACAACAATTTTGAAAGTTTTTGAAAGTTTCGATTTTAAATCTCACAAATGACACGAAAAAAAAAAAAGAATTGAAATTTTTATTTCCTTCTGAACTGAGAGAAAATCGATCGAGTTTGACCTTACGTATATTACATGTTTAGTCATTTACCTAATGGCAAAAATTAAAGACCGAGTTCAATTAACTTAGACTTTAAAGAATAATCAATTTGTTAAGAGCATCAAAACTGCTGTGTGAGGTGGAGAATTGTATTTATTTCATTTATTGTGACAGCGCGAATAGAAAAGAGACAAGTGAAGAAAAATCGGTCACACATGTTGTTAGAACTGTTACGTGCTAACAATGCGGAACGCACGTGGAGTGTGGCAACCTTCACACGCGGAAGTGAAAGTCAATATACCGAAGGAAAAGCTTTCCTTGTCGATTCTCATAAACGCGCCTTCATCTAATGTAAGATTTTCTTCTGACCGACATATCGATTTGCCTGTATTATCTACCGTCAGTAAAGAAGAAAATACGTTTGTTATACTATTTCTGTACGTCGATAACATGTATATGGATTATGAGAAACATTACGAGACGGCGCTGCTAACATTTATTATTTTCATTGTACGTATAGAACTGTACGATATATACATAGTCATATAGTTTAGACTCTGATAGGTTTAGACTCTGATAGGTTATCATATCTAAATATATACAATAATATATTTTTGAAAAAAATTCTTGCAAAATTTTTTAGTAAAATAGTAGCTATATATATTATTTGAAATTATATTTGAGATTTATACAGTTTTTTTAGTATATATTATGTTGCTTATATACTTATTAAGATTACTTCTACACATAGATCGCACTAATAAATTAATTTATGAAGAAACAAACTATTTTCTATTTTTAGAATTAGAAGTGCCACATATAAGCGTTATGTGAAAGCTGCTGTCAAGTCAGGATGGCCGAGCGGTCTAAGGCGCTGCGTTCAGGTCGCAGTCCACTTCTGTGGGCGTGGGTTCGAATCCCACTTCTGACACATTTTTTTTGTTCGCGAAACGTTGGTTGAAACAGTTATATTATTTTTTAAACAATATATTTTTTTTATAAATCACACTTAAAAATTTTATTGATAAAGTTTCAATGAAATTATTTAAGTTATATTTTTTACACACATACACCGCGTTATCACGCCAAATCTACAGTTTTCTAATAGAAATTATATATAAAAAATAAAATAACTTTTATATAATGTGTATATTTTTATTCTAACATATCTTTTCTAAATCATAAACAAATATCACTGTAAATTATTCAGTGAAATTATACGGACAACAGTTTATGGAAACATTTGCATGAAATGCAACGTATATTGCATTGTTTCAGTAAACGTTTCGATTGTTTACCAAGTAAACAAACGTGGTGTATATACAGAGGATGTCTTTGACTTGGCAGCAGCTTTGCTGGCAAGCCCAGCGGCGTTGTTGGGCGCCAACGTTCGTCGTGCGGAACGACGTTCGTGATTGCAGATAGGCGGATACCGTTGGTGTCGTCTGTCTGCGGACGGATTCCATTCGAGCTCTTCGACAACGGAGAGAAGATACATTATACCGGGGGTCTTTAAACGGCAACCGTACAAGTAGGCAACAGTTGGATAGAGTGTAAACGAGCAGCATCACTTAATGCGCATTAAACGAGACGTAGATGCGCGTCGTTATACGATCTGAAACCTATAAAATGTATCTTTCTAGTCACTATACATATTTATGCGCGATGTTCTGTTATTTATGTGCGAAGAATTTAAAGACGGAATATGTTCTGCAAAATGAGAGATCGCGTTCGCGAATAACGGAGTAAAAATTTCACACCATATGTTGAAACACATTTTTCGTGTTTACACGTCTTAATGGCTAAGATAAATTTTACATCAGTCAGAATAGAAACAAGTTCCATTTCTCTTAAAATCGCAGTAAAACTTAATAAAACAAATAACACAGCAATTTCGGTGTAGCATGGGGTGTTAATAATACTGAAAACCCAATATATATTTTTTCACATCTCTGTTATATATATACACATCGTGACGCGGACAATATTACAATTGATCTGGAACTGATCTCGGAATTGTAATTAGAGCTGATGCCGCAATGTTAATAGAGTAATTTCGATTTTATGGCGTTTATTTTAGAAAGAACGCGGGTAAGTTATTATCGTACGCCATTACACTCCGTGGTTTATTGCAGTATCCAACAATTCAATC